TTCAGATGCCAGCAGACCGGCCATGATTGGATAACATAGGATACTGTATTAACTAATTGTGGATGTCCTAATAGAGAACTTGAGTTTCCTTAAATTAAATCCGTCATGGGATTTGATTTTCTTATTCCTTGTTGTGAAAGGAACCCTTGTTGCCTGAATCTTCCCTTGCAATACTCTTCTTATTCTGTGGTCTATGACCCCACTGTTTTCACTGCGTGTAAGTTGGTAAAGTGGCCTGGTTAATAGCTTATGGTGCCCGACGAAACCGAGGGCCCCAGTGGAACAGCTGCCACATGGTGACGCTGCTCGGCACGCGCTGGTATCGAGGGTGTTGACCAGTCCCTTTGCCAAGTTACACCGTTGTACCGCTCTTGCTATAAATTATTCTCCTTGGAAAGTGTTCTGGTGTTCGAACGGGAAATCCACAACGGGTTGGTGAAATTGTGTTCATTCGAAGTAACTGAGATGATGTGGTTTGGAGGAAGTACGTATGTGTGATCTCAGTTCACACAAAAGACTAGCTTCTATTGTGGTCAAAGAAGGGAAAGAAAAAGAAGAACAACAAGGAAAAGTTAGCCCTCGGGTAGTGGGGAGTGGTAGGAAAAGCCTGAGTGAACGTCATGTCCCAAGCCTTGTGTCCAGCTCGACCACGTTACGCACGCCGGTCACTATTGTCGCGTGCCCTGTGGACGCCGTCAGTGTCAAGGTGCACTAGTACCCCGTTCTCGCGTAACCACGACATTATGCCGCATCCACCGTACTCATGCACTGTGCGCTTCTCCTTTTCCCAGCATTCGGTCGGCTCTTGATCCTCGCCCTCGTTCCCATACCGGACCCCCTCCTTTTTTCTCTTTTGGGGACACGGCCGCCCGCACGTCTCCCTCGTTGAGCGAATCCGCTCCTCTCCTTTTTCCTCCCTCCCCTCAAGCTCGCGCAGGGAGCGCACCATGGCTGACGCTCTTCCCACCTTGTGACCGTCAGTGTTCCCTTCCACACCGCCTCCACTTCTGGTACGCTGCACCCCACCTCCGTTCGCCACTAAACATAGGCGGAGTTTACATTACCTTGGTTGATTGCCTTAATTGTGGATGTCAGGTGGCATCTGGTTCTGTCAGGCCATGCATCTTATGCATAATCATCAGATGTTGGGCGCTGATTTTTGTGTCTTGCACGCATATAACTAGGATGTGATTGATCAACTTTGTTGACCCCATTGGGGTTACATCTGAAAAGACTAGCGGCATTGAATTCATTTACTCAGAAATGAGTAAAGTAAATCATCTTGGAGGTTTCATTTACAAGCCGTTTGGTACTAAAACTTCCATGTGGCAATTGGCATTGGTGTGCAAACTTTGCTACACTGTTAAAAGTTACAGAAATGAGTGTAAATCATCTTGGGGGTTTCATTTACAAGCCGTTTGGTACTAAACCTTCCATGCGGCAGTCGTGCGCAAACTTTGCTACATTGTTAAAAGTTACAGAATTAACAATATTAAGCTACCAAATACTTTGCTGCAATTCTTTTTGTTAGTGCAGAGTAATTGATAATTTGAGAGATTGAAAGCAACCACTTTGTTTTGAGCGCCTCATTGAAAAATTCAGCAAATGTTTGTCTTGTCAACAAGTAATAATTTTATTTTTCCTCTGCTATGAGATGTCATCACTCTGATGCACCGGGTTGGAACAATTAATCTAGCCTAGCAGATGGTTGGGGTAAAACCTTAATGAAAAAATAGTTGAGCTTGGCCTGACCTGCCCATTCTTAAAGAAAAAAAATGTTCGCTAAGTAATTGAAGTTCCGTGGCACCTTAATTGTTTTCGTAACACATGCCTGTTGTGGGATCGTAGCCCCGATTCCAGAATTGTATGGCCTTGTTGGTCACTTGTATTCTTGTGTGCTAGCCGTCCTAGCATGCCCCAACCAGTTACCTTTTTTTCGGGAGCTAGCAAGTCACATTCCGTTACAAGTGATCCAGGCCGTGGCTGAACCCGTGAATGCCGTTGGTATCGCCTTTTTTGTTCACTAATCACATATGCCTCCGCCAGTTCTGATGTGATCTAGGCTAACCCATACCATCAGCTGAGTTCCAAGGACTGTACATCAATTTGGGACTTTGAGAGTACTGGATGACCCTTGCTTTTTTTTTTTGAGCGGAAAATACAGCAGGGGAGGCCCCCACTGTAAACTTTTTATTTAAACAAAAGAAGCAGCAACTCTATACAAGAGATAACAAAAAAGGGAAGCAAGCCCGAGGTGTGCAGCAGAGCTAAACTAGAGCAGCTGTACAAGAAAGGAAGACAGAGCGCTTAGCAGAACTGAATCTATGGGCCTGTAGCCTAACTTCGTCATAGAAGGAGCTTTTCCAAGAATCAAAGGATGGTCGGCCTCTGTCAAATATAGAGTTGTTTCTCTGCTTCCAAATCTGCCAGGTGGCAATGATGAAGGTCTCCATAAAAAAGGGGTTGTTATGTTGAGCCTTGGCTTGCTGCATCATCCGGAAGAAATCCATTGTGAAGTCCCAATTTATACCAAGGTGTTGCCAACAGGCTTGGGTAAAGGGGCAGGTGAAGAACAAATGAAATGCGGTTTCTTCAATGTTGTTGCTGCATAGGACACAATTGTAGTTGTTTCCACTGAAGCTTGTGCTTTTTCCTTCTCGAATATTCCTTGTGTTCATCATCCATCAAGAGGAGCCACGAAAAACTCTCGAAGTTTGTTACAGCATTTGGAGTTCCAAATCCAGAGAAAAGGGATGGGGCTATATATTCTTGTAAGGAAAGTTGTAGCACTTTGATGAGGAGTAGTTCTTGCTTCCCCAAATGTATTCCTCAGAGTCCTTTGAATTCTGATCGGCCTGCAGATCTTGAATTAATTCCTCGGAGACTTTGGAATTCTTGGAAGGCTTGCTCTGATAAGGGCAAGTGAAATTGGGCCTCCAGAGTGTTATTAGACAAAAACCTGGCCACTAAAATGTTCTTATTCCGGGCAAAGGAATAGAGCCTTGGGAATTTGGATTCTAGGATGTTGTCATTCCAAAGGTCAGACCAAAAAAGCACAGTGGAACCATCTCCAAAAGTGCACTTTGCAATTCCTCCAACATGTCACATAATTTTAGGACATCCTTCCACCAAAATGAACCCCTCTCAGTCAAGCATGTGGCACTTGACCCTGGGAATAATGCGCATTCCAGATCAGCTTCACCCATGGGATATCCTTCCTATTATAAAATTTGTCTAGATGCTTCAAAAGAAGGGTCTTGTTTTGACTCCTAAGATTAATAATTCCTAATCCTCCTTTTCTTTTTGGCTTTGAACATTTTCTCCGTGCCACTAGTGGTTTCATCTTTGCATTGGAATCTGAACCTCTCCAAAGGCAAAGATGTCTGTCTTGCTCTATCAATATACTCAATGACCGCAACCGCACCCTCTAAGGTACACATGGCATATGTGGGCAGCGAAGAGAGGACTGAATTGACTAGTGAAGCCTTCCAAAGATGGGTCGAAGGTAGAAGTTGCCGTGAGCCTTCTCTCAACTTTAGTCATAATGGGACCATAGTGTTCAACTCGAGGTTTTGTTGTTCCCAACGGCAGTCCAAGGTAGTTAAAAGGAGAGATTCCAAATTGCAGCCAAGACACCAAAGAAGGAGTTGAGCTTTTTCAAGAGAGAGATTTAAGGAACAAGGCAAGACTTCCTCAGTAGTTGACTCTCACCCCTATCGATTAAGAGAAGGATTCGAGAAGGCCTTTTAGGGCGAATAACTCCCTCTCGAGAAGCTTTCATGACTAGAATAGTGTCGTCAGATCTTGAACAATGGGGGCCCGATCCACTCAAAAGAAGGAATAGGCAACTCAAACAAACCTTCTTTGGTAGGCTTTGTTGACAATGCATTGAAGGAGATCCGCAGACAAGCACAAAGAGGAGAGGTGACAGGGGTCACCTTGTCTAACCCTACACACAACAAAGTGAAAGTGGTTGCTCGGCACACCATTCGGAAGGACCAAGAGGAGCCAAGCAAGAATCCTCTCAATCCAATCAATCCAAATTTCAGCGAACCCCAAGTGCTTCATCATCAACAAGATTGTGTTGTGCTCAATTGTATCAAAAGCTTTTGTAAAGTCTAATTTCGAATAATAAGCTCTTTTTTGGAATGTTGGCATTGATGGATGTACTCATAAGCCCATGCCAAACAATCCTGTATTGTTCTATTTTTTATGAAGCCATCTTGGTTGGTATGAATTAAAGGAATTATTTTATCCTGCAACCGATTGGCAAGGAGCTTTGTGATGATTTTGATGATGACACCATTCGGAAGGGAAATGGGCCTGTAGTCATTGACACTTGTAGGATTGTGCACTTTCGGGATTAGAGTGATGAATGAGCTGTTGATGGCTTCCAGATTCAAGTTACCATTGAAGAAATCAAAGCATAATTTGTAGACATCTTCTTTATAAGATCCCAACATTTTTTCGAAAAAGAGCCCATTGAAGCCATCTGGACCAGAGCTTTATCGACGGCATGTGTTTGATGACCTCATCGATTTCATGGGTGGAGAAAGGCCTTGAGAGAGAAACTAAGTCATCTCTAGCCTGCACTAGATGATCAAGGTTGTAGAGCATTGTAGGATTAGAAGAGCATCCCATTCTCTTTTTAAAATCCTCTAGTAGCAGAGCTGCCTTTTCATTATGCTCAATGATAGATCTACCATCCTCGGTACATCAAAGCTAGTGATGGTGTTAATCTTGTATCTCTCGATGGTCTGCAGCGTGGAAAAATTTTGTTCCTTCATCTCCCAACTTGGTCCATCTCACAATTGTACCTCTTCTTCCAAAGACTTTTTTTGTAGCCATGTAATCGAGAATGTGTGCTTTAAGAATCCTTCCGAAGTTAAATTCTCAGTATAAAGAGAGGTCTTTGTTCTTCAAGAGAGTCTAAAACTTCTAAATTGTCATTGCAAATTTTAATCAACCTAGAGAGATTAGACAATTTCTTGCTCCACTTTTTAGGGCAGCTCTAAGAAGCTTGAACTTTGAGCTAATTCTTGTGGCACTGCTTGAAGCTCGACATTAGAGGTCCAAACAGATTTCACAAGATCCATGAACCTGTGGTGATCAATCCAAAGAGTTCTCAAATCGAAAAGTTTGTGCCTTGGGGATATTGGTGCCAATTTGTATTTTGCAAGAGATATGATCTGAAGTTGATCTTGCCATTGGAAGAAGAAGTGTGTCGGGGTAATCGGAGATCCAATTAATGTAAGTGAAGACCAGTCAATTTGCTCAAGGAGGGATCATCTTGCATATTGCTCCAAGTATACTTTCTCCCTTTAAGTGGGATTTCTAGGAGTCCCAGGTTACTTATAATTTCATTAAAGATCATTATGTCATTCATATTGCCTCCACTTCTGCTTCATCTACCAATGATCCGTAAAAGTTGAAGTCACCTACAATCATCCAGTTCACATTATCATCAATTTGAAGGTTGTTGAGCCAAAGAACAAACTCATCTCTACCAGGACCTTGGCATGGACCATATACAAGTGGTCGTGGATCTAGTTATGACCATTATGCAAGGAAGAGAAATTGACCGTTATGGAGAACTTGTTAATCTCAATGATTTCCCCATTAAAGATAGAGCTATTCCACCCCATAAGAATACCTCCAGTGTCCAACAGAGGGGGAGAAGGCATACTTGTTGAAGCGTTTGGGGGCCAGTTTTTTTATGAAGGAGTGGTCAAAATGATCTCTCTTAGTTTCTTGGAGACAGAAGATTGCACAAGAGCTTTCATCGATTTTTTCTTTTACCACGCTGCATTTATCTTCGGAGTTGATTCCTCTAATGTTCCAATTGAGGATGTTACAGCTTCTTTTCAGACTAGAGTTTGAGCTATCGATATTTGTGGTGTTATCCATAAAAAAAAACAAGGGATGCATCTAAGGTCCACTTCTGCTCGGACCTGCATCTTCGAGCCTTGGAGCAAGAAGCGTTCAAATGTCACCTCCACAGGATCGATGCAACATAGTTCTGTTGCCACCTTCTCGAATTTCAAAGATAGGAATTTCAGGAAATACAGATATGAGTGTTGACATACTCCTCAACAGTAGAGAGCCCAGGAAATTCAATGGCTTGGGAAGTGGGAGGGAGAAGAATGGTATCCAGAAGATCAGCTTGTGGTTTAACCTTGTTCTCGGTTTTTTTTCTACCGACTTCCTTATTTTTTGAGGCAGTCATGACAGGCTTGTATCCATCAAGCTTGGCAGTAAATCTTGGGCTTCTTCTAAGCATTTGAGTGGAAGTAGGGGTGCTGCACTTCGTTTTCCTTATCACCTTTCGCTTGCCTTTGTTTTTACTATCATTATCAACAGTGTGATCTGGTGCATAGATGGAACCATCTTGCTCTAGAGAAGGTTCCAGTACCATAGTCTCCCTCTCAAATTCCTTGGTCTTATCCTTGAATTTCCTCCTATAGTAGACTCGAGTGACAGGGGTCTTTTTTATGAGCAGATCAGCAGGCTGAGCAGGAAGGCTTGTCAATGCCTTTTTGACTTCGGGAATTTGGATCATTGCTTATTAGCCACATTGCCCTGATATTTGCTTCGATTGCAAGTGTTCTTCACTGATTGAATGTTTTATTTAATCTCGACGTGCTTACTATGTTACTGCAGAGGTGCAGAATGCTACAGAACCTTTCGTAACTCGTTGACAGTGTGCAAAAAGTGCAAGTTTTGTAAGCTCTGCTCTTCACTTGACTCATGTATTGACTGGTGTCTTTTTATGGTGACCCAGGGACATGACATACTGAACTATTTGGAGTGAAAACGACTGAGACGGACAGGACATAAGTGGTGTCGTGTCAAGCACCGTACCTTCTCCATAGAGCTAATGATCCGAAGCTATCTCCGACAACACCTAAAATACAAAACTCATTCGTAGCGCTACCAGCAAAAGGTTCAATAACTATTCAGCATCTTCTCCAACGACAAGACACAAAAGAGAATCCTTTCTGCAAATGAATTTCCAGAAGAGAGGATGTCCATATTTGAGTTGTCTCTCAGGCAACCCAAAATAGATCTCCCGTATAAATACTCTATTGAAGACTAATTTTGGATCTCTGACTACCATTAGAATTCCTCGTTCGAGACAGTCTAAGCAGCTGTATCTATGCCTCGCCTGTCCTTGGGCCCTGTTTGTAAACTGATCTTTAGTTATCGTGAATGGTAACACTGGCCATCTTTATACCATGGTAAAGAACTAGCGATATGGCTGTTCTATTGTTGGTTTTTCTTTGTACTATGTGTTTTGCAATCGTGATACCTGGAGAAACGAAACCGACATGTTCTCTGCTGTATTTTGAACTGGAGATTGCAGTAACAATATACCATCCAAATCGAGCTCGTGTCAATTGAGGGTGCTTTGCTTCTTTTTATCTCCACTGGTCATACATAATTCTAACTGCTGTCATGTTGGCCCTCCCTCCACCAAGTCAAGACCATGCTGATTAATTGCCTGATTTACTAATGATACCATCTTTGAAGCATTCACCAGATCACCACATGGCCTATATGTCAGAACTGAAACCCTCTACACTCTTATTACTGCTCAATTCTATCTGGATCGCGCACTGCTGCAAGAACAATGACAATTAGTACAGAAAAAATAAGAACGATGACAATGACAAAAGAAGTTACATCTGCATGCTGCAAAATTCGACTGAGCTAAAGCCATAATGTCAGGAGCAAGGAAAAAAGGGAGAAATTCGCAAGCAATAACAGCAAGAACAAGAACACGAACTGAAATTGATAGCGAAGTAGTTGCACTGAATCCTTAGGCGCCTAAGCAAGAAGAACTGAAAGTAAGCCATTCGATAGCTGATCGACGTCTCCAGTTCAACTCAGCGAACCGGTACAGCCTACTCCAGCTTCCTCGGCAGCCTGATCAGTTAACTGACGAACTGAAGAAATCGACACCTGACGAAACTGAATGACTTGCCGTATCTGAATTTCTGATACATAACGCTCCTTTGCACGCAGTCACGTGTTCAGACGGGCCCTAGAAGCTATATAGGCCCACACGCTGCGATCCTATCTCGCCAACAATTCCCCCAAATCACCGAGCCCGTCTTCCGGTCCCGTCACCGGCTGCCGATCCGGTCGTCCCATCGTCTCCGTCTCCGTCTCCGGATCGTCACCTATCCAGAATGTAGGGACAGATGAATCAGGTTGTCACCAGCCGCGGCGGTGCTGTTGCTGGTGTCGGCGGCGCCGCCAGCGGCCAGTCGCGGCGCCAGCCGATGGATCATACGACTGGACTCTCCGGGATGTATGTGGACCCGCACTTTGTGATGGAGCGCACCACTAGTTTTTGCATTTTTACTACCCAGCGAGTGTTTTGACTTCACTGATCACGGTCAGGGTACTAGTTGTACTTCTACTGAGGTTTTTTTTTATCTTTGCACATGTTTGATGACCAGTTTTACTGAACTAGTATTGAATGCATGATGGTCCTTTATGAGCATCTACCACATCCATACTTTTAAAGCTCTAGTATACAAATTGAATGTATGATGGTCCTTTATGAGCATCTATGTCTAAAAATAATGCTCACCTAAATTCCATCAACTTTACTGTATGTCCATATTTACAGTAGGGTGCCTCATGCAGCCTACCAAGAATTAGGACAAAGCCTACCAAGAATTAGGAGATTGTAATACTGCATATTATATCTCACTACAACAGCGCATCATTTTAATCAGAAGATCATGTTTAATTCTTTTATGTAACAAGTCATGCAAAATGCTTCTTCTGACTTGATGGTACCAAAAGAACAGTGTTAATAACTTGTCCTGCAATAATGATCAAAACTAGGGTAACAGCACATATAGATTCCATCAGTTTGTTATCTGTCCATATGCACATCAACATGCAATTCATGCAGTGCACCAAGAACCATGACAATCTGCTTGCCATTATTACGCAGTATTATCTACATTAGCAACCAAACTAGCCACTGTGGATGATGAATCACACAACCCTCACCCACGTGTTCTATCATATCCATCTGGTACCCATGTATGTGTGATGGTCCTTTATGATCACCTATGACTAACATAGTGCTCACCTAAATTTCATCAACTCTATTGTCTGTCCATATTTACAGCAGGAACACAACTGATGTGACCTACCAAGAATTAGGACATTGTTATTTAAAGCTGAATGAATTGCAATACCATATGAAAGTCAATATTTACTTTGCAGATTATATTTCTTTCTGCCGTACCAGTAGCATGAGTTTGCAAGCAAGTTTGGAAGTGATTAAAGTTGTTAAAGATGATAGTCAAGAATGAAGAAACAAATCCTGCTAGGTTCTTACCAATCTCCTGGACTGTGAGCAAGCACGTGGTGGCCCCTTAATGAGCACTCACCAAAATACCATCAGTAGTATTCTTTACCATATTTAAGAACTCAACTCATGCAATCTACCAAGAATTAGGAGATTGCAGAGTGCATATTTACCATTTACAGGCTATAATTGCAGAACATAATTTTTTTCCCCCGAACACACATAAGAATCGCATATCAAAAAAAAAAATCAACCTGCAGGGGAAAGACTGGCCCTGCGGCATTGATTTAAGAATAAACTTCTTGCACACAAGCCGAGAAACACCCCAAACCTTGCAAAACACATACACCACAAAGACCCAAGTGAGGAGCGCCTTCCTACAAAAAGAACTTGACCACGATCAAACCTCAAGGAGCCACAGCTAGCCACATAGATGAAGCTCATCACTAGCAAATAACTGAGCTTTAGCAATGCTCAGAGATGCTCCATCAAAGACATACCGATAACGGTGACACCACAAAGTCAAGACACCAAGAATAATCAGAGAGTTGGTGCCCTCCTGAATTGGACCATTCAAACTACTAGAGATCTTTTTCCCCACCAATCATCGAAGGAGTCCTCTCCTAATTGTGGAGCCAAAAACTGTAAGCCAACTTTTGTGCAAAAGTTTGAACCAGAATTCATAGGCATACACACATGATACCAAAAGGTGATTGATGGTTTCATTGGATTGGTCACAGTAGGGGCAAGTTGTTGGGTGTGGGAGACCTATCTTAGGAAGTGCATACTCCAGGACACCAAAAAAAAACACTTATGATGGTCTTATACATATATTCTGGGTATCATAGAAAGCCAACCTAATTTCTTTATTCCATATCCATATTTACAGCAAGACTCAACTCATGCATACAGCCTACCCAGACGTCTTTTGATAAATTCTAGGTCAGTAAAAACAATTTAGTTTATTTGTTTACGCACATTAGCAAAAAAACATCAGGTTTATTTAATAAACCCAACATTATCCATTAACTATATATGAACAAAAATATATAGACAGTTGCTAAATCAAAAGTAATCATAGATCACACGGTGCAGTATGAGCTTACCGTGCAACTGTAAATGGAATACATACATGACAAGGAAGAGACGTTTGAGCTTTTTAACTACTCGTAGATTGCCTTCTTTCTTGCATATGAAAATTATTTCTTGATTGCCGTTGTATCTCTTTTGTACTTGAAGCACATGGTCTTGAGTCTTGACGCCATCAATTCTCTCCTAACTGGTGTGACCAGTAATCTCTTGATTTCTCCCTTAAAACAAGGCCTTCAGTTTTTCTTCTGCTTTTGGTTGTATATTTTTGCTTTTGATGATCACCCTGTACCTCCTGGTTCATTGGGTTAAACTGGTTCCACAAAAAACTTCTTCCTGCCTAAAATTTCGTCGCCCTTCCCTGAACTCAGGTTGCAGAGCTTGCTTTAGTTTCCTTGGCTCTTCCCTAAATCTTTTGCACACTGTTTCCACTAAACTCTACCTTACTTTCATCCTCTTCCAGTTTAGCCTACCATTATGAGAGGCATCAAAGAGGCAAAAGATCAGCTAGATGCACAAGCTGGATTACACATTTGTGGGTTATGAAATCCACAATGTTTCTTAATGCAATGATACACAACTCTCGTGCGTGTTTGAGAAAAAAAAAATGAAATCTACAATGGCCCAACCATGTGTCAGTAAGTGTAGGTGTGACTGGTCATGGAAATCAGAATGAAGAAATTCCCATAAATAGATTATATAAACCAAAACGGAGAAATTTAACTTCACTAATCATGAGAGTACAATGATGGCAGAAACAAACAAACTCTGTTATGACAAGAACCCAAAACGAAAACAGGAACTAAAACCCTCAAAGAGAAGGGCGAGTTTGCACTGCCATACTAGAATTTCACAACAAAAATTACTACATCCGTCCCACAAAGAGTGACATTCTAGCTGTCCTAAGTCAAATTATCTTATGTTTGACCAATTTTAAGCAAAGAGTATTAGCATTTATGACACTAAATAGATATAGTATGAAAAAATATTTACAGTCTTTGAGGGTCAGGGGTAGTAAGTAATAGAAGACTAGACAATGCCCCAGAGAGCAAGTCTATCCCATTATCTAAAAGATAAGAGGTGCATCAAGTATTACAGAAGCATATTCCACTCGTACCACCAAACTTAGCGCCAAA